TATGGAGTTATCCGCCTTCTGGTGGCTTTATGTTGCTTCACTGGCAAGCAGGTCGCTTGTGGTGTGCCGGCCGTGTCCAGATCGCGGTTCATGTGTAGGTCAGTCATTGATGGGGGATGGCGGGTTGGTGGTGGAGTTGCCGCTGTTGAGGCAGTGGTGGGTGGAGCTGTTGGTGTAGCTACTTTTGTGTTTTTGGGCATCCGGCTTCGCTTAACCTGGATGGCTCCTTGGGTTGTTGGTGGCAACGGTGGTGGTGGTGGCGAGTCCAGGCTGGGCGTGGCACTGCAGTTAATCTGGTGTGCCTTGCACCCTTTTAGTGTTTGGAAGATCTCATTGCAGTGCCGACACCGGAATACCAGACGGGACAGATGGTAGCGTCTCAAATGTTTGCTGAGGTCCCCGTGCCTTTTGTAGAATTTTGGCACTGGGGCACAGCTGCGGCAGTGGACTTCATCTGCTATTGGGACGTCCAGGGGGTAGCTGGTGAGCGTTTTCTCCATTCTTCCTCTTGTTGGTCCGGAAGATTTGATCACGCAGCGTGTTTAAGGCATACTAGGGGAGGCGGGTCGTGTAGTAGTAGAGCCTTATTTTTCTGCGACTGGCATCTGTTGGTACCCTGGGAGTTTGTGACCCGGCTGCAAGCGGTTTGGCTACACTTTGATCTTAGCCAAAAGGCCGAGAAGCGATACTTGAACGGCATTTTACAACCGCAGTTAAAGCGTTGTTTAAAACAACCACAGAAAATGCACAACTCTCCCGCCCTCTAAGAGCAGTTTTGCAACTAACAACGCGGGCTAACCGCGGGAGGTGTACCGCGGCGGTCATACGCAACAGAATAGCAGATACACTGTGGACAAGGGCTCGGAATTTTTTAAAATCTGAAATTCGAATATTCGTTTAGTGGTTTATTGGAATACTCGAATATCGGTTTTCCGTTTTCCAAGACGAAAAATCGTTATCTCATATCATTTTTGGCAACTAGCCACAACGGATAAAAAAGAGCCTTTGTCGGCACATTAATTCTAACACCGCGCAAAAGTTGATAACGCGAATCACCAAAACACAGAGACGTAATTTTATATTCATTTGCAGGAGAGTAAATATGATTATTTTCATTTGCTTGTAAATATATGGGTATTTGTTTAAATGCTTGTAGAATATGAATCATTTATTTTATAAAAGTATACAAAGTGCATATAAAGATATTTGCACCTTGTGAGTTTGATAATGTTGGTGTATTCGAGTATTCGATTATTCGAGTATTCGAATATTCGAATATTCGAGTTATAACTACACATAATTATTCCCTTTTTGAATATTCGAATACTCGAATTATTCGAGTTTGATTCCAAGCCCTACTGTGGACGATTTAGCACAGTTGTTCCCAAACTTTTTTTCTCGTGGACCACTTTTAAAGTTTTACTATTTTCGGTAGACCCCCTGCTGGTACATTTCTATTGTATTCCCATAACTCCTCAAAAATATCACCCCGAATTGGGGGTGTTAAGAAGAAAAAAAGTAGCACATTTTCTTGTGTCCTATTTATTAAAATAGTACTTGTGGTTATACAAAATTATAAACTTTTACTATTACAAACAGTCAACAATGAACTCTGAAAT